GAAGGCCGCGGAGAGAGGGAAGGAGGGAGGGAGGGAGGGAGGGAGCGATCCGCAGCCCGGGCGCCAGCCACATCAACAAAACACGGCAGTCACTCTCTCGGTGACGTGCCGATTTGCCGGCCGTGGGCTCTTATAAATAGGGCATCACACTGTTTGATACCGTTTTTCCCCTCAACGCAACACGCCTCTGATTTGTGTCCGGCAGAATTACTCTGCATCTATTCAAGAAACCAAAATGGTAGAATGATGTAGTTAATAGGGCTTTTCAAAGGAACTGAAAACCCGAGGAACCCACAAGTCATATTTCCACTTGCTTTTTCTCCCTAGCCTCTTCCCCTTTTTGCATCCCCCACCCGAAAGCACATTTACGATGCGTTGCACAAAATCGTTTCCTCTAACAGGCTCTATCATGTGACTCAACATTTCTCCATTTTATCCAAGACAGATCCACCCTGGTTTCAGACTACTAATAAGCAAACCAAACACAAGCCACCTCTAGTACAGGAGACACACTTGGATTTAGTTCTGAGAATCTTTCACTTAGTAGTCTCCTTAGAAAAACTTTCGCTTTTTGCTGTGGTTACAGTAACCAGAAGCTTACACTGATAATTAAAATGCTTAGGTCATTTTCCTTCCAAGAAGAGTCCATTTCAGTTGGGGGACAATCCTTGAAGGAAAACACAATGTGATGCCTGTAAACATGCTCCAACAAAAAGGGGCTCAGGAGAGTAGTAGTACCTTGCCGTTGACATTTATTTTTTGAGATGGAGCCCAGGCTGGTGTGCCACCATGCCTGGCCTACATGGTGACAAGGACTGAACCTAGGACTTCATACATACCGGACAGTCATTCTACAAAGTGAGGGCATCCTGGGCCCCAGGAATGCAGGGTTTTATGACACCTGAAATCACTGTTCAGCCGAACTTTCTGCCTCAAGGATCTCTGTCAGGCTACACCATAGCCCTTTCTCCTGGTGGGAATCATGGTAGGATCTTTCTAAATCAACATTTTGTTCTGCCTACTCTTGGGGTTTTTTTGTTTTTAACTAAGGAAGTGAAGATTCAAACGTCTAGGCTGCAATTTCTCAGATTTAACTGGAAAGATTTCACAAATCCTTTCAGAATAAATATAAATAAGCCCAGGATTTGAAAAACTAACTAGTGACCTTTAAACAGTCCTTCCTGTCCCATTATAGCATTCCCAAACAGCTCTACACATTTTTTAGTGAAACTGTGTCTTTATGGTAGGCTATCTTAAAATGCTTCAGTGGTATAGTCTGAAGGTTTGCAGAGAAGCCAATGCCTTGACTTTGAAAATGAGCATGAGGCTCCTGATAAACCACCTCAAAATATTCACACTGATACTTGAAGCCAGCAAATGGTACATGACTAGGCAAAAAAATCCGAGGTGGTTTTGGATATTCAGTAGATCACTGTGGATAGCAGGAGTCCTACATGAAATCACAAGTACTGTTACAAAGGATGCCGAAGAGAATCAGATATTCATGAGGACCAACGACAGACTGGAAAATTATGGTGGGAACCTTCATAGGACACGAACACTTCCAATTTCTGGCCTTCGGCACTCAACAGAGTCATTATTTTAAGACACTCAACTAGTACATGACACTGTTACCGCAACTGAGAATTCCCTTTTTAGTGTTCTTTACTCGTTTAGGAGCTACAAATACCTTGTGGAGACATAAAGACCACTATTTTAAATGCACACTTCTGTGCTACTTTTACCTCGTATCAAGAGTCCCAGGATAGTTTCAAACCTGTTCCTGAAAACTAGGATAGAAAGTCTCAGGGCTTATCTAAGAGTTACTAAAAACATAGAAGAATGGCTTATATGACAGCTTGGAAACACATCGTTTAAGGCCCAATACCTATTTGTGTTTAATTCACTGACATTGAGAATGAGCATTATAAATTTTAATTCCATTCAGGATCCCACAAAGTTAAAACAAAAAAGTCACCCAGAATGACTACACGACAGTAAGACTGACCCTGCAAACGTAACACAACTGATGGAGAAAGGACACTGTCCTATGTAACTATCTGGCTTTAAGAGTATTCACTGGACTGCTAACAGCCTCACTGTACGCATCATCTGAAATACTCTAAACTTAGTCACCAGCAAAATACAACAAAGGATGTATTTAAAAATTTAATGCTTGGCTAAAGCTTAATTACACATAATTATCAAACAATAGTCCTTAATTTCCAAAAAGTTCCTCTTTTGAAAACCACAGAATCAGAAAGCATTAACTTTAAAACAAGTTTCTCTGAGTATTTACAATGTGGTATAAACATTACAGAAGACCACCAATAGTAAATTGCCTGGGTGCGTCTAGTCAGCAAGGCATATTCTTTATTGCATATATAACTCACATATGTGGGATTTAAAATATGATGGACAATAGAAATTCATGTATCTATAAGCTGGGCCGGGAGTAAAATCATGAATGAGAAAGGACAGTCAGCCTTAAACCATGCAGTTAGTTTGTGGGCTTATTGTCAAAAACTAAACTGAGCTCCCACCCCAAACTCGTAAGCATCACCTGCAGCGCATATTAAACCCACACTGGCCTCCAAGGCTGATGTACAGACATTATACACTCACTCACTTCGCTCTCGTATAAGGCAGCAGAGCACAAGTGACAGAAATGCCAGCCAATGGGAGTGAAGATCCACCCACCGCCTACCAGCCCTTCTGTTGCAGCAACACAGTGTTCCCTAAATTACTGCGTAATTTTCTGTTGTTAAAAAACTTCCTCTGTAGAAAAACACTGCAAATTTCCAGCATGAAAGTCCACGGTGGTAGAAATATACATATATATGTGCATAATTACACAATTTACACTGCACACACATCATTTATAGAGGACACTTAAACCAAGTTAATTTAATGACGATACAAAATACTTCCATAAACAAAATATGACAGGCAGTAAGGAAAACATTCATAGACTCCTAGAAATAATCTGAATTCCTTTCGTTCTGAAGAAATCACATTTAAGGACACAGTATTAATATAATGTTTTTGTATTTAAACAGTTATCTTACAGTTTAAGAAACTTTACATATATACAAAATTTACACACTGGGAATGGTAGCAAAGCAAACACTTTTCGGTCTCAGATCTATTTTCCTTCAATCAGAGACTTAAGTTCTTTCACATTGTGGTCACTTGCAACAGACACAGCATGATCCAAAGCCCGAACACTTGCAAGAAGCTTTACTATCTGTTTTATGTTTTCTCTAAAAGAGAAAAAAAAAAAATCATCATGTTATATTGAGATAAAATTTGTTCTTGATTTTACAACTACCTTAGAGAATCTGCAAAACAACTTTTCCAGGCATACATTCTTAAATACTGAGAACAAGACATGCAAGCTACAACTGTTTTAAAACATCTGTAGGGCTAGCAAGATGGCTCACAGTATAAAGATACTTGCTACCAAACCTAATGCAGAGCTGCTCTCCAAATCCTGCATGGTGTAAAGAGAGCCAAACCCTGGGAGCTCTCCTCTGCCCTCCACACATGCACCGTACAGTATGTACCCCACTCTCAAAACAAACAAATGGAAAAAAATGTATGTTATTTATCCAAACAAAACCTATGTTTGAATGACTGGCCCAGAAAAAGAAATTCATTCTAAACAGAAACAATTTTATTGTGAGAAATGATTTTCATCAATATCTGGGAAGAAAAGCAGTAAAGATCCCAAACCCCTTTGGAGTTCTGTCTCTCTGCTTCCCAAGCAGAAAGCCCCAGCTCTTGTGGAGCACTACTTAAACAAAAACCATTTGTCCTCATTATCAGCCTATGAAGAGACAAACTTTCAACTCCTTTAAAATTGATTCAATAAAGCCTAGTTCTGCTTTCCTTATCAGACCTGCCTTAAGTCAATCCACCTTGTGAAGAAACTCGGAGATACTGACATCAGAATTCTGGAGAGGATGAGAAAATGCCCATCTCCGAGCCTCCCTCCAGGGTTACTCAGTACGGAGAAAACAGAACACATGTCTAACAAGCTCCAGTTGCCCCTATGTTTACAAAGTTCTTAGGCTAGCCTGAGCTCACTCTGAAGCCCAGGCAGGC